CAGACAGCATCAGATACACGGGCTACAGTAAGACAGAGCGCTGTCTCTCTCACCCGGACGTTTTCTCCAGTGCGATAGTTGCAGTCACTTATGAATTTAAGGAAAGTTGGCGGGTGCACAATGCACTGTTCGGATGCTGGAATTATTTTGGATGAACATGTGAAGGTAACCTACTTTTTGAAGTGATTTGTTTGACAATCAGATGAAAACATCATGACTGGTTGTGTTCATGGCACAGTTGAATTACATGTCTTTACTCAGACTGGCCTCTGCCTGGGGCCTCCAAACCACTAAGTCCGCCCCTGGGTCAGAGCAAATGGACGTGTTTCTGAGACAGCCTTCGTCAGTTGTTGCCGAAACGCGTCCATTTGTCATTACAGAATAACCAGATTACCAGTTGTTAACTTTATCACTTCCCACAGTGTGTTTAAACCCCCAGTTAAACCCTATATCTCCACATCTGGACTAAGCATTGGCATGTTTATCTCTGTTGTTGTTGTTGTTATTTGTAGTGTGTGTGTGTGTGTGTGTGGTACACTTGAACTCTCTCCTTCCATCCATCTGATGCAGTAGATCGATACACCTGAACTCTCTCCTTCCATCCATCTGATGCAGTAGATAGATACACCTGAACTATCTCCTTCCATCCATCTGATGCAGTAGATAGATACACCTGAACTATCTCCTTCCATCCATCTGATGCAGTAGATAGATACACCTGAACTCTCTCCTTCCATCCATCTGATGCAGTAGATAGATACACCTGAACTCTCTCCTTCCATCCATCTGATGCAGTAGATAGATACACCTGAAACTATCTCCTTCCATCCATCTGATGCAGTAGATAGATACACCTGAACTATCTCCTTCCATCCATCTGATGCAGTAGATAGATACACCTGAACTCTCTCCTTCCATCCATCTGATGCAGTAGATAGATACACCTGAACTATCTCCTTCCATCCATCTGATGCAGTAGATAGATACACCTGAACTATCTCCTTCCATCCATCTGATGCAGTAGATAGATACACCTGAACTATCTCCTTCCATCCATCTGATGCAGTAGATAGATACACCTGAACTCTCTCCTTCCATCCATCTGATGCAGTAGATAGGTACACCTGAACTCTCTCCTTCCATCCATCTGATGCAGTAGATAGTTCAGGTGTATCTATCTTATTGACCTCTGAACCTGTGTGTAGATGTGTTTTGACAGGCTAGAGCCAGAGGGACTGGGAGGAGAGGAGAAGAGAGGAAGAAGCTAGGAGAAGATCTGTTTTATTCTATTTGGTATGCAGTTAGACTGTAGCTCTGCAGTAGCATAGAGAGTAATCGAGAAGATAACGTCAGCGGAAGGAGCAGTAGCGAGATGCAGAGACGAGAGTAGATATCCATAAGCGAGAAGGATAGAGAAGGATGAAGGCAATAGAGAGATATCGAGTAATGAATGCTATATCATAGTATATCTCTCTCTCAGATTCTTCCTAATCCTCTCTCTCTCCTCCCTCCTGCTCTTCTCCTTCCCCATCCTGATGTCTTTCAGGAATAATAAAGACTGCAACATTACTGTAACAAGCCGCAGTGTGTGTGTGTGTGTGTGTGTGTGTGTTTGTGTGTGTGTGGGTGTGTGTGTGTGTGTGTGTGGTGTGTGTGTGTGAGTGTGTGTGTGGGTGTGTGGGTGTGTGTGGTGTGGTGTGTGTGTTGTGTGTACGACACGCCCCCACATTCCCCCGGTGAAGAAAGGAGCTTTCTGTAGAATCACAACCATTGTGAGGGGAAGGAGGGAGAAGAGGGGGAAAGAGAGGAGCAGGAAGGAGAGGAGGAGGAGGAAAGAGAGGACGAAGGAGAGGTGGAGGAAAGAGAGGAGGAGGAAAGAGAGGAGCAGGAAGGAGAGGAGGAGGAAAGAGGGGGGAGGAGGGGAGGCGGAAGGAGAGGAGGAGGAAAGAGAGGACGAAGGAGAGGTGGAGGAAAGAGAGGACGAAGGAGAGGTGGAGGAAAGAGAGGAGGGGGAAGGAGAGGAGGAGGAAAGAGAGGAGGAGGAAGGAGAGGTGGAGGAGGAAAGTGAGGAGGAGGAAGGAGGAGGGGCGGAGGAAAGCGAGGAGGAGGAGGAGAGAGAGGAGGAGGAGGAGAGAGAGGAGGAGGAGGAAAGCGAGGAGGAGGAGGAGGAGAGAGAGGAGGAGGAGGAAAGCGAGGAGGAGAGGAGGAGGAAGAAGGAGAGGAGGAGGGAGAGGAAGGAAATATTTAGGAGAAAATAGGACATGAGTGAGAGTGCAAATACACAATACACATGAAGACAATAATACACATCCCCATTCACACTGTATCATGAAGACAATAATACACATCCCCATTCACACTGTATCATGAAGACAATAATACACATCCCCATTCACACTGTATCATGAAGACAATAATACACATCCCCATTCACACTGTATCATGAAGACAATAATACACATCCCCATTCACACTGTATCATGAAGACACAAATACACATCCCCATTCACACTGTATCATGAAGACAATAATACACATCCCCATTCACACTGTATCATGAAGACAACACACATCCCCATTCACACTGTATCATGAAGACACAAATACACATCCCCATTCACACTGTATCATGAAGACACAAATACACATCCCCATTCACACTGTATCATGAAGACACAAATACACATCCCCATTCACACTGTATCATGAAGACAATAATACACATCCCCATTCACACTGTATCATGAAGACAATAATACACATCCCCATTCACACTGTATCATGAAGACAATAATACACATCCCCATTCACACTGTATCATGAAGACAACACACATCCCCATTCACACTGTATCATGAAGACACAAATACACATCCCCATTCACACTGTATCATGAAGACACAAATACACATCCCCATTCACACTGTATCATGAAGACACAAATACACATCCCCATTCACACTGTATCATGAAGACAATAATACACATCCCCATTCACACTGTATCATGAAGACAATAATACACATCCCCATTCACACTGTATCATGAAGACAATACAAATACACACACGCATGCAAAACGCGCACACAAACAGTGTTAGGGGATGTGAAAGAAGTTGTGACAAAAGTTTTGTAGCAATGCTTTCTGGGTAATTCCACCTCCTTATTCTACTGCCGCAGCGTCACCTCACACACACCCAACCCTCGGAGAAGAACCTTATTCAAATTGAAGATGAGGAAAATTCTTCCCCTTGGGCGGAAACCAAACCTCGATCGAGAAGCAGCTGCTAAATATTGAAGAGGGAGAGGCGAGGGGGTGAAAGCCAAATTCAAAGCTGTACATGTGTGGATGGTCTGTGCATGGTGTGTGTGTGTGTGTGTGTGTGGACTATGTATAGAATTGCAGAGAGGGGGCTATGAATAACAACTCATGTAGCAAAACACTAACATGCTGGCTCAGTACTGTCTGTCAGTTCAGTGTCCATCATAAGAGATAGGAGATAGACTGGAGGGCCTTAGATTAATGATTTCATCCCATCAACCTCCTGTTACTCTTAGCTTCTGGCATAGCGTTTTAGCCTTGTTGTTGCTGCTGCCTCTGATGTTGTTAATGAGGATGTTGTTTGTAGTTGGTTTCTTGGCTATTTCCATGCGAGCTTGCTGTTACGTACACGCCGGGAGTCAGGAAGCAGGTGCAGAAGGTGAGTTTAATAAAGATAAATGCAGATAAACAAACCATGAGCAGCACGTGAATGAAAACAATACTACCCAATGACTGGTACTACTGAGGGTTAAATAAAGGGAGAGTAATCAGGGTGATGATGATGATGATGTCCAGGTGTGCGTAATGATGGGGAACAGGTGTGCGTGATGATGGGGAACAGGTGTGCGTAATGATGGGGAACAGGTGTGCGTAATGATGGGGAACAGGTGTGCGTAATGATGGGGAACAGGTGTGTGTAATGATGGGGAACAGGTGTGCGTAATGATGGGGAACAGGTGTGCGTAATGATGGGGAACAGGTGTGTGTAATGATGGGGAACAGGTGTGCGTACTGATGGGGAACAGGTGTGTGTAATGATGGGGAACAGGTGTGCGTAATGATGGGGAACAGGTGTGCGTAATGATGGGGAACAGGTGTGCGTAATGATGGGGAACAGGTGTGTGTAATGATGGGGAACAGGTGTGCGTAATGATGGGGAACAGGTGGTAATGATGGGGAAAAGTGTGGGTAATGATGGGGAACAGGTGTGCGTAATGATGGGGAACAGGTGTGCGTAATGATGGGGAACAGGTGTGCGTAATGATGGGGGAACAGGTGTGCGTAATGATGGGGAACAGGTGTGGCGTAATGATGGGGGAACAGGTGTGCGTAATGATGGGGAACAGGTGTGCGTAATGAGGGGGAACAGGTGTGCGTAATGATGGGGAACAGGTGTGCGTAATGATGGGGAACAGGTGTGCGTAATGATGGGGAACAGGTGTGCGTAATGATGGGGAACAGGTGTGCGTAATGATGGGGAACAGGTGTGCGTAATGATGGGGAACAGGGTGTGCGTAATGATGGGGAACAGGTGCGTAATGATGGGGAACAGGTGTGTGTAATGATGGGGAACAGGTGTGCGTAATGATGGGGAACAGGTGTGCGTAATGATGGGGAACAGGTGTGTATAATGATGGGGAACAGGTGTGTGTAATGATGGGGAACAGGTGTGCGTAATGATGGGGAACAGGTGTGCGTAATGATGGGGGAACAGGTGTGCGTAATGATGGGGAACAGGTGTGCGTAATGATGGGGAACAGGTGTGCGTAATGATGGGGAACAGGTGTGCGTAATGATGGGGAACGGGTTAGTAGACGACCGGCGACGTCGAGTGCTGGAGAGGGGGAGCAGGAGAGGTCTGGAGAGAACATAGATGGATGAGTGCATTAGGAGCAGGAGAGGTCTGGAGAGAACATAGATGGATGAGTGCATTAAGAGCAGGAGAAGACTATAGGAGGATGTGGAGGTCAAAGAGTTAGAAAGCTGGAAACAACCTCTCTCTCTCATCTCACTACTTTCCCCTTCGCTACTCCTAATCTCCCCACCCTCCCTCCATCTCTCCTCTCCTCCCCTCCAGGTGTATGTCTGGTGATGGGCTGTATAATCTACCCTGATGGCTGGGACAGTGACGAGGTGCGGAGGATGTGCGGGGAGCAGACGGACAAGTACAGCCTGGGAGCGTGCTCCATGCGCTGGGCTTACATCCTGGCTATCATGGGGGTCCTGAATGCCCTCATGCTCTCCTTCCTGGCCTTCGTACTGGGCAACAGGCAGGACGGACTCATGACCGAGGAACTGCTGGCCGAGAGCAAGGGTAAGACTGGAGTCCATGCAGTCCATTAGGACCTGTAAACACACTTGCTCCACCCTATTCCTTTATTTGGCTAGCAACTTGATAACGTCTTGATCCATACTGTTAGGTAATTAGCCAGATAAAGGTATGGTGGAGCAGTAGTGTGTGTATGGGTCTGTAAAGGACTGGAGAAGACACTACGGATACACTGCAAGCAAGCAGCACACACACACAGCATCCACACACACACACACAGCAGCATCCACCCACACACACAGCGGCATCCACCCACACACACACACAGCATCCACCCACACACACACACAGCATCCACCCACACACACACACAGCATCCACCCACACACACACAGCATCCACCCACACACACAGCAGCATCCACCCACACACAGCAGCATCCACCCACACACAGCAGCATCCACCCACCACACAGCAGCATCCACCCACACACACACAACAGCATCCACCCACACACACACAACAGCATCCACCCACACACACAGCAGCATCCACCCACACACAGCAGCATCCACCCACACACAGCAGCATCCACCCACCCACACACAGCAGCATCCACCCACACCACACAGCGCATCCACCCCCCACACACACACAGCAGCATACCACACCCACACATCACCCCACACCAGCATCCACCCACACACACAACATCCACACAGCAATCCACCCCACACACAGCACATCCACCCACAACAGCATCCACCCACACACACAGACATCCACCCCACCACAGCATCCACCCACACACAAAGCATCCACCACACACCCAGCATCCACCCACAACACAGCACATCCACCCACACACACAGCTCCACCCACACACACCATCCCCCCACACAGCAAGCATCCACCCACAACAGCATCATCCACCCACACACAGCAGCATCCACCCACACACAGCAGCATCCACCCACACACAGCAGCATCCACCCACACACAGCAGCATCCACCCACACACAGCAGCATCCACCCACACACAGCAGCATCCACCCACACACACAGCAGCATCCACCCACACACACACAGCAGCATCCACCCACACACAGCAGCACACATTTACATTTTAGTCATTTAGCAGACGCTCTTATCCAGAGCGACTAACAGTTAAGTGAGTGCATACATTTTCATACTGGCCCCCCGTGGGAATCGAACCCACAACCCTGGCGTTGCAAACGCCATGCTCTACCAACTGAGCTACATCCCTGCCGGCCATTCCCTCCCCTACCCTGGACGACGCTGGCTAATTGTGCGCCGCCCCATGGGTCTCCCAGTCGCGGCCGGCTATGACAGAGCCTGGATACAAACCAGGATCTCTAGTGGCACAGCTAGCACTGCGATGCAGTGCCTTACACCACTGCGCCACTCGGGAGACTCAATTCACTTTTGTTTATTGTCTATTCCATTTGCTTTGGCAATGTAAGCATATGTTTCCCATGCCAATAAAGCCCTTTAAATTGACACACACACACTCGCAAGGTTCGAGCAATTAGGCAGAGAGAAAAATTTCATGCTATTTTGCCATGAGGCTGAGAGAAAATGTTGCTGTTTTAGAGCTCAGGGATTCTTGAAAGACCGGACAATCTGTATTTGTCTTAATATTAACAACATTAGAAATATATAGTACCAGTAAAAAGTTTGGACACACTTACTCATTCAAGGATTTTTCTTTATTTTTACTGTTTTCTACATTGTAGAATAATAGTGAAGACATCAAAACTATGAAATAACACATATGGAATTTTGTAGTAACCAAAAATGTGTTAAACAAATCAAAATATATTTTATATTTGAGATTCTTCAAAGTAGCCTTGATGGCAGCTTTGCACATTCTTGACATTCTCTCAACCAGCTTCACCTGGAATGCTTTTTTAACAGTCTTGAAGGAGTTCCCACATAAGCTGAGCACTTGTTGGCTCCTTTTCCTTCACTATGCCGTCCGACTCATCCCAAACCATCTCAATTGGGTTGAGGTCGGGGGATTGTGGAGGCCAGGTCATCTGATGCAGCACTCCATCACTCTCCTTGGTGAAATAGCCCTTACACAGCCTGGAGGTGTGTTGGGTCATTGTCCTGTTGAAAAACAAATGATAGTGAGACTATGGGATGGTGTATTGCTGCAGACTGCTGTGGTAGCCATGATGGTTAAGTGTACCTTGAATTCTAAATAAATCACAGACAGTGTCACCAGCAAAGCACCATCACACCTTCTCCTCCATGCTTCACAGTGGGAACTACACATGCGGAGATCATCCGCTAACCTACTCTGTGTCTCAGAAAGACACGGCGGTTGGAACCAAAAATCTCAAATTTAGACTCATCAGACCAAAGGACAGATTTCCACCAGTCTAATGTCCATTGCGCGTGTTTCTTGGCCAAGCAAGTCTCTTCTTCTTATTGGTGTCCTTTAGTAGTGGTTTCTTTGCAGCAATTCGACATTGAAGGCCTGATTCACGCACACCTGTTAATTGAAATGTATTCCAGGTAACTACCTAATGAAGCTGGATGAGAGAATGCCAAGAGTGTGCAAAGCTGTCATCAAGGCAAAGGGTGGCTACTTTAAACTAATCCAAATATATTTGAGATTCTTCAAACACTTTTTTTGGTTATTACATGATTCCATATGTGTTATTTCATAGTTTTGATGTCTTCACTATTATTCTACAATGTAGAAAATAGTACAAATAAAGAAAAACCCTGGAATGAGTAGGTGTGTCTAAACATTTGACTGGTACTGTATATTTTCATAGACAAAAGTATCAGCTATCACACCATGTAAAGGAACAACCTAATCGTTTTTTTTCATAAAATGTAATTTGATTTATGTCAACTCCGTCAGACACCATAAAAGGCATTATTAATACAATTATTGTCCAACAAGTGTATATATGACCTTGATTGTTTAATTCTAACATTAGATTATTAAAATATGTAATATAAATCTCAAACTTTTTTGTTTTGTTTTATGTTTGTGTTGACATTATAAAAAAAAAGAGTTTGTTTTATGTAGTTGACAAAAATTTATTTTTTCATTCATTCAAGTGGTATGTGTACACAGTAGCAGTACATTTTTCCTCAGTCGCTTTATGAAACCTAATTAAATGTAACATATTTGAACCAAAATGAATATTCTATCAGGCAGATGGAGTTGACAGTTAATGGTTGTGACCATGGTGATTCCAATATTGTTTAACTCTATCAAAAGTAGAGAACTTTCCAGATCATGAGTGGTCTTGTTGCCCTACATGTAATGAGGACATGAATAAGGGGTCCTTATGGTATAGCTGACCCTGATCATTCCTGATTCATTCAGGATTTTAGCCAAATCTGACTGAGTAGACCAAATCTCCGGACAAATTGTTTAGGAATCAAAGTTTTGAGATAAGTATTCTTTAAGTCACAGAGAGCTATTGCAAGAAACTACATATGATAATTTTTCAGTTAATATCCATTATAGCAGTTATTTATTTTGTACACTTTTTTTGGAGACGAGGGCATTTCCAGGCATAGAGCCGACATGGAAATTCATAATATTGAAAGTATTTTGAAAATTCTAAAAACAAAGCTCGTTATGTGCACACCGCCCACAAAATGAGGTGGAAACTGAGCTGCACTTCCAAACCTCCTGCCAAATGTATGACCATATTAGAGACATATTTCCCTCAGATTACACAGACCCACAAAGAATTCGAAAAACAAATCCAATTTTGATAAACTCCCTTATCTACTGGGTGAAATACCACAGTGTGCCATCACAGCAGCAAGATTTGTGACCTGTTGCCACAAGAAAAGGGCAACCAGTGAAGGACAAACACCATTGTAAATACAACCTATATTTATGTTTTATAGATTTTCCTTTTTATACTTTAACTATTTGCACATTGTTACAACACGGTATATAGACATAATATGACATTTGAAATGTCTTTATTCTTTTGGAACTTCTCAGTGTAATGTTTACTGTTAATATTTATTGTTTATTTCACTTTTGTTTACTATCTACTTCACTTGCTTTGGCAATGTTAACATACGTTTCCCATGCCAATAAAGCCCTTAAATTGAAATTGAATTGAGAGAACAAAACAGGGTGTCCAGGGAGTAGATATCAGAGGGAATAAATAGATAAGACAAAGGAAGAGGGGGAGGGGCTAGGGGGGAGGGGCTAGAGGGGAGGAGCTAGAGGGGAGAGAGCTAGAGGGGAGGAGCTAGAGGGGAAGAGCTAGAGGGGAGAGAGTGGGAGAAACACTGTGGCAGCAGACGTGTTACTTGTAGCCAGGGGGCTTTAGGATGGAGTGATGAAGAAAATGGAGGGATGGATTACTAATGGAGGGATGGATTACTAATGGAGGGATGGATTACTAATGGGGGATGGATTACTAATGGGGGATGGATTACTAATGGAGGGATGGATTACTAATGGGGGGATGGATTACTAATGGGGGATGACTAGAATGGGGGGATGATTTACTAATGGAGGGGATGGATTACTAATGAGGGTGGATGACTAAGGGGGATTTACTAATGGAGGGGATGGATTACTAATGGGGGGATGGATTACTAATGGAGGGATGGATTACTAATGGGGGATGGATACTAATGGGGGATGGAGTACTAATTGGAGGGGAATGGATTAACTAATTGGAGGGATGGATTACTAATGGGGGAATGGATTACTACTGGAGGGATGGATACTAATGGGGGATGGATTACTAATGGAGGGATGGATTACTAATGGAGGGATGGATTACTAATGGGGGATGGATTACTAATGGAGGGATGGATTACTAATGGGGGATGGATTACTAATGGAGGGATGGATTACTAATGGATGATTGCTCAGCTCACTGTTATCCTGTCTCAATGAAGACCATACACCTGTCAAACACACACATTACTATGCTCCCCTGTGAGTACTAGAAGACTGTAATGGACCAGACTGACACCTGCCGGTTGTCATTGGTACTACACACAGAACATCACATCCCATAATATACAATAGACTGTTACACATTTT